CTATCTATCTATCTATCTATCTATCTATCTATCTATCTATCTATCTAATATCTGAATATTGTGGGATTCTCTGTTTTCAATTATTTTTGCATATTCATTAAGATCTAAGAGAGATGGCATGTTCTGAATCCTGTCACTTAGGCAATGTGATGAGATGTACTTTCTCTGTTATTACTCTATCCTTTGGAATAGCATTGTTCCTGAGATTTGGCTGGTCCCCATAAAGCCTTGTCTTTTAAAAGGCATTAAAAACATGGTTTGTTTGTTTTTTTGCCCCCAGACATCAAGTCTGGGTGTGATAGGATCCACTGAATGTGTTTGTCTTGGCGCTTTGTGTGCATATGTCTCAGTTTTGGTTTATGTTTTTATGTTTTTCTATTATGTGCTTGGTATGAAATTCACTACTGTTAGTTGATGATGGAGGCCATCATCACTGAGCCATGTACTGACTGGGTGGCTATAAAAATGTATATAAATGATCCACAAATTGAAACTATGTTGTCAGCAGTAAGTTATACCTTTTCAACCTGACAAAGTGTAAATTCTTTGGTTGTAAAATGGTCTGGCCACTGTGCAACCAGTTCCAGAAAGGGCTATTCCTTCAATACAGAACCCCAAGTTCTTACTTTGTAGCTTTCCAACATTCAGCTCTGTAACTGAAATAAAAAGTTATACTTGTAGCAGGCATGGCTTTATGAATTTTCCCTAATTTACCTATCATTTTGAATCAAACATAACTTTTATATCAATGGTAGGATTCATTTTTCTTTACTACCAGTTCTGTTGGTATGGCTTGGTGGGCGTGGCAGGGGAAAATCTCCAGTCAGAGGTGGTATTTGCCAGTTCTCTGAACTACTCAAAATGTCCACTGCCGGTTCTCCAGAACTGGTCAGAACCTGCTGAATACCACCTCTGCTTTATATTAATCTTGCCTTGTGGACAATTTAGAAACTACAGCTGGTACAAAGTGTAGCTGTGCTCTTGTTTGACTAGAACCAGTCAATCGAAATATACTCCCTCAGTTCTATTGTACTCCTTCTGAACTAGGATCCAAAATAACATTGGTCAAATTATCAGGAGGACTGCATTTGCCCTTGTTTTAAAAGGCACAACTATTGGTCTACATTAAAAATCACACAGAACTTCTTTGTCCAAAACCTATTATTTGAGACGATGCTTCCCAAGTATTTTAAGCTGTTTTCACCCACATTATCCACTCAGTGCCCAAACTATCAGTGCTATTGGGTATCAATTGATTTTACTACAATAATATGTCATATATTGGATCAAACATTTGCTCTGAGCCTGAAAAAAATCTCTGTGGACAGTGGTTTACCACTCTCCGCATTGCTCCATTCAAATATAACTATAAACCTAGAATTTTTAACCATGGAATGTTGGCTAAACCACATTGGTCAGATTGGTGGCTAATGCTTAAATTAAAATTTTCATTTAAAAGAAATATGGCATAATACCATATCTGAATCCAGCCAAAGGCTCTGAAATAGTTCAGGTAAAGACAGGAAATTAGAAATAGTGCATTGTGGATTTCAATAGCTTTCATGAGTAGTTAAAATGATTTCAGCACATTCTGAATCATTGTGGTTCACTTTAAACAGATTAGCTTTGGAAACCATTTAATTAAATATATGAAGCTTCCCAGACTGATGGGCTCATTATATTGAGGTGGTGGTGGAGGGAATGAGTGCAGGGCAGATAGGAGTGACTACAAACAAGCTACAGACTTCTGTAGATAAGCTGGCATTCTCTATAGGCGCATGATACCACTTGAAACCTCTGTAGCCACTTGGGATAGTACAAAGTGTAGCATCACTTGATTTCAGAGGAACATCAATGAAGACTGAAGAGTTCCATCTACAAAGCACAAGTGCAATGTGAAAGAAAACAGTGTAAACCAATTCCAATCTACTTTACTGAAATCTTTTTGAGGGACTGACATTCCCTGGAAACACACTGTAACAGCTACAGTAGCTGGACTCCTGAAGTACACATAGACATAGAACGGCTTTTAAAAATGGTCTAGACCAGGGGTCTCCAACCTTGGCAACTTTAAGACTTGTGGACTTCAA